CAGTTGCCAGTACTTAGTTATGGTCCCAGAGGTGGTCTGGGTAGAACAGTGGTATGTGATGGGGAGAAGCATACATTCCTCTTTGATATGTAACATGGAGCAGACGGCAAGGTATTTAGCCACTGGCAGTCAGCCATACACCTCACAACTCAGCACTTTCCTGGGATCTCACCATCCCCTGCTTAGACATCAATGAAAACACACTGGAACTTTCATACCAATTGGAAGTACTTTTCTCCTGTTTTCTTTCAAATATGGAATTCTAATTACCTAAAACTCAGTGGTGTTTAGTCGGGCAGGTAACTCTGATGGGTCTCAGGTGAAATGTCTCAGCAGTGTCTTGCCATTGTAATCAATGTTGAATTCAGTTTTACTCCTGCACTTGGTGATGGCCAACATTTGGTCTCACATGCCACCGCACTGATAGAATGCCAAGCCAGACAGCCGTACTGGTAACTTAAAAAAATTACCGGTCCGGATACAAACTTACCCGTCCAGTTTTCAACAATAAAAAACAGAAACAAAATCAGGTTTCTGAATATTTTCCTGTTTGTAGGCATCGCAATGAACTAAATAGCAGTAACAGGCAATGCACCAAGATTAGATAAACTGAAAGTACACATATTGTGATTGGTTATCGTAACATGAACTGTCCAATCGTAAGTAGTTTAATATAATTATCATAATACCTTATCAAACTGACAACAAGAGAACCTGTCTGATATAATGAAATATTTTCTGTTAGGGGTATAAAAATCTAACAGACCACCTGACAGGCTACTTTTGAAATTTGACGCTAATATATGCCTGCTAGCACTTAGGGTCTGTCCATTTGCCTGTCAGCATTTTATACAGATTATGGTGACGCCCTCAGTTACATCCCCACGGAGGTCTGAACTCTTGTTTTTGCTTGATGGAAATAGTGAGAAGAGAGCAAGTCCACATGTAAATGGACACACAACTCTGTGCTGGGGGCACCATGTGCTGTATAGTTGACTGGGGGGTGTGTAGGTTGTAGAGGGACACACAACTCTGTGCTGGGGGCACCATGTGCTGTATAGTTGACTGAGGGATGTGTAGCTAGGTTGAAGAGGGACACACAACTCTGTGCTGGTGGCACCATGTGATGTATAGTTGACTGAGGGATGTGTAGGTTGTAGAGGGACACACAACTCTGTGCTGGTGGCACCATGTGCTGTATAGTTGACTGAGGGGTGTGTAGGTTGTAGAGGGACACACAACTCTGTGCTGGTGGCACCATGTGCTGTATAGTTGACTGAGAGGTGTGTAGGTTGTAGAGGGACACACAACTCTGTGCTGGTGGCACCATGTGCTGTATAGTTGACTGAGGGGTGTGTAGGTTGTAGAGGGACACACAACTCTGTGCTGATGGCACCATGTGCTGTATAGTTGACTGAGGGGTGTGTGTAGGTTGTAGAGGGACACACAACTCTGTGCTGGGGGCACCATGTGCTGTATAGTTGACTGAGGGGTGTGTAGGTTGTAGAGGGACACACAGCTCTGTGCTGGTGGCACCATGTGCTGTATAGTTGACTGAGGGGTGTGTTGCTGGGTTGTAGAGGGACACACAACTCTGTGCTGGGGGCACCATGTGCTGTAAAGTTGACTGAGGGGTGTGTAGCTAGGTTGTAGAGGGACACACAACTCTGTGCTGGTGGCACCATGTGCTGTATAGTTGACTGAGGGGTGTGTAGCTAGGTTGTAGAGGGACACACAACTCTGTGCTGGTGGCACCATGTGCTGTATAGTTGACTGAGGGGTGTGTAGGTTGTAGAGGGACACACAACTCTGTGCTGATGTGGCACCATGTGCTGTATAGTTGACTGAGGGGTGTGTAGCTAGGTTGTAGAGGGACACACAACTCTGTGCTGGTGGCACCATGTGCTGTATAGTTGACTGAGGGGTGTGTAGCTAGGTTGTAGAGGGACACACAACTCTGTGCTGGGGGCACCATGCTGTATAGTTGACTGAGGGGTGTGTAGGTTGTAGAGGGACACACAACTCTGTGCTGGTGTGCTGTATAGTTGACTGAGGGGTGTGTAGGTTGTAGAGAGGACACACAACTCTGTGCTGGTGGCACCATGTGCTGTATAGTTGACTGAGGGTGTGTAGGTTGTAGAGGGACACACAACTCTGTGCTGGTGGCACCATGTGCTGTATAGTTGACTGAGGGGTGTGTAGCTTTGTAGAGGACACACAACTCTGTGCTGGTGGCACCATGTGCTGTATAGTTGACTGAGGGGTGTGTAGGTTGTAGAGGGACACACAGCTCTGTGCTGGGTGGCACCATGTGCTGTATAGTTGACTGAGGGGTGTGTAGGTTGTAGAGGGACACACAACTCTGTGCTGGTGGCACCATGTGCTGTATAGTTGACTGAGGGGTGTGTAGCTAGGTTGTAGAGGGACACACAACTCTGTGCTGGTGGCACCATGTGCTGTATAGTTGACTGAGGGGTGTGTAGGTTGTAGAGGGACACACAACTCTGTGCTGGTGGCACCATGTGCTGTATAGTTGACTGAGGGGTGTGTAGGTTGTAGAGGGACACACAACTCTGTGCTGGTGGCACCATGTGCTGTATAGTTGACTGAGGGTGTGTGTAGGTTGTAGAGGGACACACAACTCTGTGCTGGGTGGCACCATGTGCTGTATAGTTGACTGAGGGTGTGTAGCTAGGTTGTAGAGGGACACACAACTCTGTGCTGGTGGCACCATGTGCTGTATAGTTGACTGAGGGGTGTGTAGGTTGTAGAGGGACACACAACTCTGTGCTGGTGGCACCATGTGCTGTATAGTTGACTGAGGGGTGTGTAGGTTGTAGAGGGACACACAACTCTGTGCTGGTGGCACCATGTGCTGTATAGTTGACTGAGGGGTGTGTAGGGTTGTAGAGGGACACACAACTCTGTGCTGGTGGCACCATGTGCTGTATAGTTGACTGAGGGGTGTGTAGGTTGTAGAGGGACACACAACTCTGTGCTGGTGGCACCATGTGCTGTATAGTTGACTGAGGGGTGTGTAGGTTGTAGAGGGACACACAACTCTGTGCTGGTGGCACCATGTGCTGTATAGTTGACTGAGGGGTGTGTAGCTAGGTTGTAGAGGGACACACAACTCTGTGCTGGGTGGCACCATGTGCTGTATAGTTGACTGAGGGGTGTGTAGGTTGTAGAGGGACACACAACTCTGTGCTGGTGGCACCATGTGCTGTATAGTTGACTGAGTGGTGTAGGTTGTAGAGGGACACACAACTCTGTGCTGGGGGCACCATGTGCTGTATAGTTGACTGAGGGGTGTGTAGGTTGTAGAGGGACACACAACTCTGTGCTGAGTGGCACCATGTGCTGTATAGTTGACTGAGAGGTGTGTAGGTTGTAGAGGGACACACAACTCTGTGCTGAGGGGCACCATGTGCTGTATAGTTGACTGAGGGGTGTGTGTAGGTTGAGAAGGGACACACAACTCTGTGCTGGTGGCACCATGTGCTGTATAGTTGACTGAGAGGTGTGTAGCTAGGTTGTAGAGGGACACACAACTCTGTGCTGGTGGCACCATGTGCTGTATAGTTGACTGAGGGGTGTGTAGGTTGTAGAGGGACAAACAACTCTGTGCTGGTGGCACCATGTGCTGTATAGTTGACTGAGGGGTGTGTAGCTAGGTTGTAGAGGGACACACAACTCTGTGCTGGTGGCACCATGTGCTGTATATGTTGACTGAGGGGTGTGTAGGTTGTAGAGGGACACACAACTCTGTGCTGGTGGCACCATGTGCTGTATAGTTGACTGAGGGGTGTGTAGCTAGGTTGTAGAGGGACACACAACTCTGTGCTGGTGGCACCATGTGCTGTATAGTTGACTGAGGGGTGTGTAGGTTGTAGAGGGACACACAACTCTGTGCTGAGTGGCACCATGTGCTGTATAGTTGACTGAGGGTGTGTAGGTTGTAGAGGGACACACAACTCTGTGCTGAGTGGCACCATGTGCTGTATAGTTGACTGAGGGGTGTGTAGGTTGTAGAGGGACACACAACTCTGTGCTGAGTGGCACCATGTGCTGTATAGTTGACTGAGGGGTGTGTAGCTAGGTTGTAGAGGGACACACAACTCTGTGCTAGTGGCACCATGTGCTGTATAGTTGACTGAGGGGTGTGTAGCTAGGTTGTAGAGGGACACACAACTCTGTGCTGAGTGGCACCATGTGCTGTATAGTTGACTGAGGGGTGTGCTAGGTTGTAGAGGGACACACAACTCTGTGCTGGTGGCACCATGTGCTGTATAGTTGACTGAGGGGTGTGTAGCTAGGTTGTAGAGGGACACACAACTCTGTGCTGGTGGCACCATGTGCTGTATAGTTGACTGAGGGGTGTGTAGCTAGGTTGTAGAGGGACACACAACTCTGTGCTGGTGGCACCATGTGCTGTATAGTTGACTGAGGGGTGTGTAGGTTGTAGAGGGACACACAACTCTGTGCTGGTGGCACCATGTGCTGTATAGTTGACTGAGGGTGTGTAGCTAGGTTGTAGAGGGACACACAACTCTGTGCTGGTGGCACCATGTGCTGTATAGTTGACTGAGGGGTGTGTAGGTTGTGTTAGGGTTGGGCATGAAACCCAGTGTATTAAGATTTGGGAAGTTTGTGGTGTCTTTTACCAAAAGGTGAGACTGAGTCTTGTTGCATATTTTGTGTTCAATACTCACTTGAGTAACGTGGTGATTTGTCTGTCATTATAAGTATATTTGCTTTGGCTTTTGGTGGCCACATGATGGCTGCGCAGTGTAACAGTGCCACACACTACCGGCCACTGGGTATGCTTATACACAAACTTCTTGTGCACAGTCATGAAGGGACAATTGTGCCACATTAACCACAATCATAATTATGTTAATGAATCTGTATGTGTGAGTAGATTTTCACTAATGTAGTTATCATGTACTTATGTCAACTCCTACACAACAAATAACTCGGTTATGGTTTGCTTACAGAAGGAGAAGGGGTCTGTGACACGAACCAAGCAGCTACACGTCGGCACTGACTCCAGGGAGGCAACCATGCCAACCTACGAGAACATCAACGATGAGGAAGAGCTCATGAAAATTGTAAGTCACACTAACCGCGTGTAGATGGTTCTAGTGGGGGGTGGGGGTGGTAGCCTAGTGGTTAAAGGCGTTATTTCGTCCACTTGAAGACCGAGGTTCGATTCCCACATGGGCACAATGTTTGAAGCTCATTTCTGGTGTCCCCCGCCGTGATTTTGCTGGAATATTGCTAAAAGCAGCGTAAAACTAAACACACTCACTCACTCACTCTAGTGAAGGGTTGTGGGCAACACAGGGATGTAAGCTGAGGTTGGAGGGGTGGGCTATACTGGGATGTAAGGTGATGTTGGAGGGTGGGCAACACAGGGATGTAAGCTGAGGTAGGAGGGGTGGGCTATAGTGGGAGGTAAGCTGATGTTGAAGGGTGGAGGCAACACTGGGATGTAAGCTGATGTTGAAGGGGTGGGCAACACTGGGAGTTAAGCTGATGTTGAAGGGGGTGGGCAACACTGGGATGTAAGCTGATGTTGAAGGGGTGAAGGCAACACAGGCAACACTGGGATGTAAAGGATGTTGAAGGGTGGAGCAACACTGGGATGTAAGCATATGTTGAAGGGGTGGGCTGTACTGGGATGTAAGGTGATGTTGAAGGGGTGGGCAACACAGGGATGTAAGGTGAGGTAGGGAGGGTGGGCAACACTGGGATGTAAGCTGAGGTAGGAGGGTGGGCTATAGTGGGAGGTAAGCTGATGTTGAAGGGTGGGCAACACTGGGATGTAAGATGATGTTGAAGAGGGGGGCTGTACTGGGATGTAAGCTGATGTTGAAGGGGTGGGCAACACTGGGATGTAAGGTGATGTTGAAGGGGTGGGCAACACTGGGATGTAAGGTGAGGTAGGAGGGTGGGCTATAGTGGGATATAAGCTGATGTTGGAGAGGGTGGGCTCTACTGGGATGTAAGCTGATGTTGAAGGGTGGGCAACACTGGGATGTAAGCATATGTTGAAGGGGTGGGCTGTACTGGGATGTATGCTGATGTTGAAGGGGTGGGCAACACTGGGATGTAAGGTGATGTTGAAGGGGTGGTCAACACTGGGATGTAAGCTGAGGTAGGAGGGGTGGGCTATAGTGGGATGTAAGCTGATGTTGGAGGGATGGGCTGTACTGGGATATAAGGTGATGTTGGAGGGTTGGGCTATAGTGGCATGTAAGCTGAGGTAGGAGGGTGGGCTGTACTGGGAGTTAAGCTGATGTTGAAGGGGTGGGCAACACTGGGATGTAAGCTGAGGTAGGAGGGTGGAGCTATACTGGGATGTAAGGTGATGTTGGAGGTTTGGGCAACACTGGGATGTAAGCTGAGGTAGGGAGGGTGGGCTCTACTGGGATGTAAGCTGATGTTGGAGAGGGTAAGGCAACACTGGGATGTAAGCTGATGTTGGAGGGTGGGCAACACTGGGATGTAAGGTGATGTTGAAGGGGTGGGCAACACTGGGATGTAAGCTGATGTTGAAGGGGAGGTAATGGGCTGTACTGGGATGTAAGCTGATGTTGAAGGGTGTGGGCAACTACTGGGATGTAAGGTGATGTTGGAGAAGGGTGAGCAGCACTGGGCTATACTGGGATGTAAGGTGATGTTGGAGGGGTGGGCTATACTGGGATGTAAGGTGATGTTGGAGGGGTGGGCTATACTGGGATGTAAGGTGATGTTGGAGGGGTGGGCTATACTGGGATGTAAGGTGATGTTGGAGGGGTGGGCTATACTGGGATGTAAGGTGATGTTGGAGGGTGGGCTATACTGGGATGTAAGAGGGTGATGTTGAAGGGGTGGGCATGTATGCTGGTTGGAGGGTGTATACTGGGATGTAAACTGATGTTGGAAGGGTGGGCTATACTGGGATGTAAGCTGATGTTGGAGGGTGGGCAACACTGGGATGTAAGCTGAGGTAGGAGGGTGGGCTGTATACTGGGATGTATGCTGATGTTGGAGGAGTGGGCTATACTGGGATGTAAACTGATGTTGTGAAGGGGTGGGCAACACTGGGATGTAAAAGGTGATGTTGGAGGGCAGCACTGGGCAGCACACTGGGATGTAAGGTGATGTTGGAGGGTGGGCTATACTGGGATGTAAGCTGATGTTGGAGGGTGGGCTCTACTGGGATGTAAGCTGATGTTGGGAGGGTTAGAGCAACACTGGGATGTAAGCTGATGTTGGAGGGGTGGGCAACACTGGGATGTAAGAGTGATGTTGAAGGGGTGGGCAACACTGGGATGTAAGCTGATGTTGAAGGGTGGGCTGTACTGGGATGTAAGCTGATGTTGAAGGGGTGGGCAACACTGGGATGTAAGGTGATGTTGGAGAGGGTGGGCTATACTGGGATGTAAGGTGATGTTGGAGGGTGGGCTATACTGGGATGTAAGGTGATGTTGGAGGGATGTGGGCTATAGTGGGATGTAAGGTGATGTTGGAGGGTGGGCTATACTGGGATGTAAGGTGATGTTGAAGGGGTGGGCAACACTGGGATGTAAGGTGATGTTGGAGGGTGGGGGCTATACTGGGATGTAAGCTGATGTTGGAGGGATGGTAGGCAACACTGGGATGTAAGCTGAGGTAGGAGGGTGGAGGCTGTACTGGGATGTATGCTGATGTTGGAGAAATTAGGCTATACTGGGATGTAAGCTGCTGATGTTGAAGGGTGGGCAACACTGGGATGTAAGGTGATGTTGGAGGGTGGGGCAACACTGGGATGTAAGGTGATGTTGGAGGGTGGGCTATACTGGGATGTAAGCTGATGTTGGAGGGTGGGCTATACTGGGATGTAAGCTGATGTTGGAGGGTTGGGCTATACTGGGATGTAAGCTGATGTTGGAGGGGTGGGCTATAGTGGGATGTAAGGTGATGTTGGAGGGTTGGAGGCTATACTGGGATGTAAGGTGATGTTGAAGGGTGGGCAACACTGGGATGTAGGTGATGTTGGAGGAGGGTGGGCTATACTGGGATGTAAGCTGATGTTGGAGGAATGGAGCAACACTGGGATGTAAGGTGATGTTGGAGGGTGGGCTATACTGGGATGTAAAAGGTGATGTTGGAGGGTTGGGCTATACTGGGATGTAAGGTGATGTTGGAGGGTGGGCTATACTGGGATGTAAGCTGAGGTAGGAGGGGTTGGCTATACTGGGATGTAAGCTGAGGTAGGAGGGGTTGGCTGTACTGGGATGTAAACTGATGTTGAAGGGGTGGGCAACACTGGGATGTAAGCTGATGTTGAAGGGGTGGGCAACACTGGGATGTAAGCTGATGTTGGAGGGGTGGGCTATAGTGGGATGTAAGCTGATGTTGGAGGGGTGGGCTATAGTGGAATGTAAGGTGATGTTGAAGGGTGGGCAACACTGGGATGTAAGCTGATGTTGGAGGGGTGGACTATAGTGGGATGTAAGCTGATGTTGGAGGGGTGGGCTGTACTGGGATGTAAGGTGATACTATGAATGGAGCAGCTGTACTGCGTATGTGTATGTCCTACCTCTGACCTTTCTCTGGTTGCCTGTGGTGTTGAGAGCTAGGAACAGATAGCATGTGCCCCTTGAGTATGACCTAGCCTATTACCCCTTGTACATGTGTGGGGGAAATGTGGGGGGAAACATGAGGTGTGAGAACTGGTCCTTACTAGCCCCATGCTTGTTGATGCTGGCAGGTAGATGAGACTTAATCATTTCCATAGGAACAACACTGATACCTTATCCTTGGTAGGGGCACAGTGACTTACAAACCCAAGTCCCACATGTATACAGGTAGAACAGTTATGGAGGCAGTGAAGTGATTCCATATTGTTGAATGTCAGACAATACAGTAGAATGTAAAGCCAAGGTAAAAGATTGACTGCCGATGTGGTTGCATTATTTCAACTGGGGCTATTAAGGCTGCAGCATACTTGTACTGTCTGTGCAGAAAGTCCCCTGCGTCAACCATAATGTGTAAGTAGCCTCAACTCATTTGCTGTCATGTAGTTCGTATCTGTAATAAACATACAGTACTGTTGTTATCTGAACAAATAGCAAGTTTATATTTTACATGAAACATCACTTTCTGCTGTTACTGCTTACAGTCTCCCTCATGACACTATCAGTCTCAGAACAGGATCAGCAACAGAAGTATGAACAAGTAGAACACATCTTTATCACATGTTTGGTTTGTGTGATTGAGAATCTGATCAAGTTGTACTCATGATTTGGTGTATTGTGTTGTATTGTGTTGTATTGGGTTGTAGTGTTATTTAGTGTGCATAAAGAAGGTGGGGTGTCCAAGTGACCAGCTCACAACAAATCACATATATTCATCCCCAGTGACAGTTATCATTAGTCAGTTGTTCAAACCACCAGGTTCCTCATACATTAACATACTACTTTCACTAAGTGTTGGTCATTTAATGCAATTATCATATATATTGGGAGGGAGACAAGACCTCACCTATTAGCCACCTGGGGCAGGGCAGATATGTTACAGTAACTACTGTAGAGTGTAATGTCTACTGCCCTTGTATACAACTGATGTGGGATGCTTTGATTTGAAGCCTGCTGCATGACAATACTTTCTCACTATTTTCTGTTGATTTACAGATTCTTCTCTAAAACTCCGGATTAATCTGTTGCCAGTTTATGTAAGGTTCTAACTGCTGTGGTGTTAAGAGATGTCCCCCATCCTTGCCCTGCTTCTCCCTGGCCCTGCTTCTCCCTGGCCCTGCTAGCACAGACAGTGTAGATTCTGTCAACCTGTACCTGCACAGAGTATATAGGAACTTCCCACCCAAGCACACAACCCAGGGTGTCTCCACAGAGTCTGTGTTCTCACTGCAGTGTGTTACAGTAATGGTACAATGTGGTTAACATGTGACCAATTTCTTCCATAGTAATTTGAGGTGTCATGACTTTTGTAATATGCCTTGGGTTTTTGTTTTGACAGGTTTGTTATTTAGATTAGGGATTTGTATCATAGATTAAGTATGAGTTAGGGTTATTAAGAGTAAGGATCTCTAGTAGGGAGTGAAGGGGTTAGTGAGAGTAAGGATCTCTAGTGTAGAGGAAAGGGGTTTTTGAGATTAAGGGTGTCTAGTGTAGAGTAAAGGGGTTGTTTAGAGTAAGGGTCTCTAGTGTAGAGTAAAGGGGTTGTAGAGAGTAAGGGTCCATCGTGTAGAGCAAAGGGGTTGTAGAGAGTAAGGGTCCATCGTGTAGAGCAAAGGGGTTGTTGAGAGTAAGGGTCCATCGTGTAGAGTAAAGGGGTTGTAGAGAGTAAGGGTATCTAGTGTAGAGTAAAAGGGTTGTAGAGAGTAAGGGTCCATCGTGTAGAGCAAAGGGCTTGTAGAGAGTGAGGGTCCATCGTGTAGAGCAAAGGGGTTGTAGAGAGTAAGGGTCCATGGAGTGTAGAAGTAAAGGGGGTTGTAGAGTAAGGGTATCTAGTGTAGAGTAAAAGGGTTGTAGAGAGTAAGGGTCCATCGTGTAGAGCAAAGGGCTTGTAGAGAGTGAGGGTCCATCGTGTAGAGCAAAGGGGTTGTAGAGAGTGAGGGTCCATCGTGTAGAGCAAAGGGCTTGTAGAGAGTGAGGGTCCATCGTGTAGAGTAAAGGGGTTGTAGAGAGTGAGGGTCCATCGTGTAGAGCAAAGGGGTTGTAGAGAGTGAGGGTCCATCGTGTGTAGAGCAAAAAGGGGTTGTAGAGTGAGTGAGGGTCCATGGTGTGTAGAGCAAAGGGGTTGTAGAGAGTAAGGGTCCATCGTGTAGAGTAAAGGGGTTGTAGAGAGTAAGGGTCTCTAGTGTAGAGTAAAAGGGTTGTAGAGAGTAAGGGTCCATCGTGTAGAGCAAAGGGGTTGTAGAGAGTGAGGGTCCATCGTGTAGAGCAAAGGGGTTGTAGAGAGTGAGGGTCCATAGTGTAGAGCAAAAGGGTTGTAGAGAGTGAGGGTCCATCGTGTAGAGCAAAAGGGTTGTAGAGAGTCGGCCACTTACATGAACTCCATGCTGCAGGGACATGCTCGAAGCCCATACAACATGCTGGACATTATTACCCCGGATAACCCAAGGTCCCTGTGAGGCGCAAGCAGGTTAATAGTCACATGACTTCAACCACCGGGTACCCAGGAGGCAAGTTTGAACAAACTCACTTGCCTAAGGTGTAACCACATAGGTGCTTCGTTGTGGGGCAGGACAGAAGTCCTAGAAACTCTCAGGAGTCAAGCTGCCAAACACGGTCACCCATCCAAGGACTTTTCATGACCAACGTTGCTTAACTTCACCTGATTTGTGACCTGAGCTCTATCAACAAGCACACACCACCTTACAGTTAAGGTGTTATTGAGAATAGGAGTTACTAGTTTAGGGTTACTACAGCAAGACATCTGTGCTTACAAGATCCACACAAATCAATTCCAAATGTGAATGAATTTGTGAATGTGTTAAGTCAGTTTATACACCAGACTGTTGTTCTCACCCACATAGGTACAGCAACTGTTCTTGCATTTCTGTCTGCCTATGTTTAAGAATACATACCTGCATTTTTCAACAGATGAGCAAGACAGATGACTTTGATGAACGAAAGAAGATCCGTGCAAGATTAAAAGAAGTGCGAGAAAAAGATAAATGTAAGTTAAAATGACATAATGCTGAGTTCAATTGAACATTCTTATTATATACAGAAGAGAAAAAGACAAATTATCTGTTACAAAGTTCAGGGTACAGATCAACAGCAAGAGTGATGAAAAGTCACAAAATGACTCTGTTCTAAAATCTCTAAAAAAGAATAGGTATTTTTTTTAAACAATTTTAGCACCTTTACATGTTGACAACTTCTGGATGCTGGGTTTGTAGTGGAGCGAGAAGCAAGGCGGCAGCAGAGGGAAAAGGAGTCGGACGACGTTGTGAAGAAGAGGTTCGAGAAGGCAGAAGAAGATAAGAAGAGGAAGATGCAACAGTTTTCAGACATGGCTGCCAAACCAACTTCTGTGACGACAACCAGGACTGGAGGTGATGGATCCCAGATAACCACCACCACCACCACCAGTACATCCACACAGAAGGTAGACGGTAAGTAGACCCACCACCACCACCAGTACATCCACACAAAAGGTAGACGGTAAATAGACCCACCACCACCACCAGTACATCCACACAGAAGGTAGACAGTAAGTAGACCCACCACCACCACCACCAGTACATCCACACAGAAGGTAGACAGTAAGTAGACCCACCACCACCAGTACATCCACACAGAAGGTAGACGGTAAGTAGACCCACCACCACCAGTACATCCACACAGAAGGTAGACAGTAAGTAGACCCACCACCACCAGTACATCCACACAGAAGGTAGATGGTAAGTAGACCCACCACCACCACCAGTACATCCACACAGAAGGTAGATGGTAAGTAGACCCACCACCACCACCAGTACATCCACACAGAAGGTAGACAGTAAGTAGACCCACCACCACCAGTACATCCACACAGAAGGTAGATGGTAAGTAGACCCACCACCACCACCAGTACATCCACACAGAAGGTAGATGGTAAGTAGACCCACCACCACCACCAGTACATCCACACAGAAGGTGGACGGTAAGTAGACCCACCACCACCACCAGTACATCCACACAGAAGGTAGACAGTAAGTAGACCCACCACCACCACCAGTACATCCACACAGAAGGTAGATGGTAAGTAGACCCACCACCACCACCAGTACATCCACACAGAAGGTAGATGGTAAGTAGACCCACCACCACCACCAGTACATCCACACAGAAGGTAGACAGTAAGTAGACCCACCACCACCAGTACATCCACACAGAAGGTAGATGGTAAGTAGACCCACCACCACCACCAGTACATCCACACAGAAGGTAGATGGTAAGTAGACCCACCACCACCACCAGTACATCCACACAGAAGGTAGACAGTAAGTAGACCCACCACCACCACCAGTACATCCACACAGAAGGTAGACAGTAAGTAGACCCACCACCACCAGTACATCCACACAGAAGGTAGATGGTAAGTAGACCCACCACCACCACCAGTACATCCACACAGAAGGTAGATGGTAAGTAGACCCACCACCACCACCAGTACATCCACACAGAAGGTAGACAGTAAGTAGACCCACCACCACCACCAGTACATCCACACAGAAGGTAGACAGTAAAGTAGACCCACCACCACCAGTACATCCACACAGAAGGTAGGCGGGTAAGTAGACCCACCACCACCACCAGTACATCCACACAGAAGGTGAGACAGTAAGTAGACCCACCACCACCAGTACATCCACACAGAAGGTAGACAGTAAGTAGACCCACCACCACCAGTACATCCACACAGAAGGTAGACAGTAAGTAGACCCACCACCACCAGTACATCCACACAGAAGGTAGACAGTAAGTAGACCCACCACCACCACCACCAGTACATCCACACAGAAGGTAGACGTGGTGAAGTAGACCCACCACCACCACCAGTACATCCACACAGAAGGTAGACAGTAAGTAGACCCACCACCACCAGTACATCCACACAGAAGGTAGACAGTAAGTAGACCCACCACCACCAGTACATCCACACAGAAGGTAGACAGTAAGTAGACCCACCACCACCAGTACATCCACACAGAAGGTAGACAGTAAGTAGACCCACCACCACCACCAGTACATCCACACAGAAGGTAGACGGTAAGTAGACCCACCACCACCACCAGTACATCCACACAGAAGGTAGACAGTAAGTAGACCCACCACCACCAGTACATCCACACAGAAGGTAGACAGTAAGTAGACCCACCACCACCACCAGTACATCCACACAGAAGGTAGACAGTAAGTAGACCCACCACCACCACCAGTACATCCACACAGAAGGTAGACGGTAAGTAGACGCACCACCAGTACATCCACACAGAAGGTAGACAGTAAGTAGACCCACCACCACCAGTACATCCACACAGAAGGTAGACAGTAAGTAGACCCACCACCACCAGTACATCCACACAGAAGGTAGACGGTGTAAGTGGGACGCACCACCAGTACATCCACACAGAAGGTAGACAGTGAAGTAGACCCACCACCACCACCAGTACATCCACACAGAAGGTGGACGGTGAAGTAGACCCACCACCACCACCACCAGTACACCCACACAGAAGGTGGAGCGGTGAAGTAGACCCACCACCACCAGTACATCCACACAGAAGGTGGGCGGTAGAGTGGACCCACCACCACCACCAGTACATCCACACAGAAGGTAGACAGTAAGTAGACCCACCACCAGTACACCCACACAGAAGGTAGACGGTAAGTAGACCCACCACCACCAGTACGTCCACACAGAAGGTAGACAGTAAGTAGACCCACCACCACCACCACCAGTACACCCACACAGAAGGTAGACGGTAAGTAGACCCACCACCACCAGTACATCCACACAGAAGGTAGATAGTAAGTAGACCCACCACCACCAGTACATCCACACAGAAGGTAGACAGTAAGTAGACCCACCACCACCACCAGTACATCCACACAGAAGGTAGACAGTAAGTAGACCCACAACCAGTACATCCACACAGAAGGTAGACAGTAAGTAGACCCACCACCACCACCAGTACATCCACACAGAAGGTAGACAGTAAGTAGACCCACCACCCACCACCAGTACACCCACACAGAAGGTAGACAGTAAGTAGACCCACCACCACCAGTACATCCACACAGAAGGTAGACAGTAAGTAGACCCACCACCACCAGTACATCTACACAGAAGGTAGACAGTAAGTAGACCCACCACCTCCACCAGTAATCCACACAGAAGGTAGACAGTAAGTAGACCCACCACCAGTACATCCACACAGAAGGTAGACAGTAAGTAGACCCACCACCAGTACATCTACAGACCCACCAGCACACAGAGGGCAGCTGGTATGTTCATCTCTGTCATGGCACTATTGGCAGTGGCAGGTAAACCATGAGGATAGTCCCATAGCCCAGAATGATCCTTTCAAAGGATGTTGTTCATATTTGTTTGATCTGTAGTATACATGAAGCCTCTGCTTTTGAATGGCATGCCTGATACATTGATTTGTTGGTTTGCAGGAGGAGGCACTCGTACACAGACTGTGAAGAAAACTGAAACAATGGTATCAAAAACATCAGGCATGGGTGGAGTGCAGTTCTCTAAACCAGGGGCAGGTATGTAGACAGCACAAAGTCAGGTTGGAATATGTTAAACCAGGGGAAGGTATGTAGATAGGATGAGGCCACGTTGGAATATGTTAAACCAGGGGCAGGTATGTAGATAGCATGAGGCCAGGTTGGAATATGACAAACCAGGGGCAGGTATGTAGATAGCATGAGGCCAGGTTGGAATATGTTAAACCAGGGGCAGGTATGTAGATAGCATGAGGCCAGGTTGGAATATGTTAAACCAGGGGCAGGTATGTAGATAGCATGAGGCCAGGTTGGAATATGTTAAACCAGGGGCAGGTATGTAAATAGGACATGGTCAGGTTGCAGTATGTTAAATATATTGTTATGCTGTAAGTTACTCCAGGTCAGGTGTGTAGGTGGGACAAGGGTGTGATGCTGAAAGTTACACATGGGCAGGTGTGTAGGTGGGGCAAGGGTGTGATGCTGTAAGTTACACCAGGTCAGGTGTGTAGGTGGGACAAGGGTGTGATGCTGAAAGTTACACATGGGCAGGTGTGTAGGTGGGGCAAGGTTGGGATGCTGTAAGTTACACCAGGTCAGGTGTGTAGGTGGGGCAAGGGTGGGATGCTGTAAGTTACACCTGGGCAGGTGTGTGTGGGAGGTGGGGCAAGGGTGGGATGCTGTAAGTTACACACCAGGTCAGGTGTGTGTAGGTGGGACAAGGGTGGGATGCTGTAAGTTACTCCAGGTCAGGTGTGTAGGTGGGGCAAGGGTGTGATGCTGTAAGTTACACCAGGTCAGGTGTGTAGGTGGGGCAAGGGTGGGATGCTGTAAGTTACACCTGGGCAGGTGTGTAGGTGGGACAAGGGTGTGATGCTGTAAGTAACACCAGGGCAGGTGTGTAGGTGGGTCAAGGGTGGGATGCTGTAAGTTACACCAGGTCAGGTGTGTTGGTGGGACGCTGTAAGTTACACCAGGTCAGGTGTGTAGGTGGGGCAAGGGTGGGACGCTGTAAGTTACACCAGGTCAGGTGTGTAGGTGGGACAAGGGTGGGATGCTGTAAGTTACACCAGGTCAGGTGTGTAGGTGGGGCAAGGGTGTGATGCTGTAAGTTACACCTGGGCAGGTGTGTAGGTGGGACAAGGGTAGGATGCTGTAAGTTACACCAGGTTAGGTGGGACAAGAGTGGGATGCTGTAAGTTACACCAGGTCAGGTGTGTAGGTGGGACAAGGGTGTGATGCTGTAAGTTACATCTGGGCAGGTGTGTCGGGGAAATGTTGCCTAGTTTTCTGTGTGAGTGTGTACAAGCATGTGGAGACCCTGCATGGCTCTCTGTTTGTCACTTTATCATCCATCATCAGACAGAGTGAGCATGGTCACTGGAGGACCTGTTACTTGGCAACATTCTCAACAGTTATCATTACTTCACCTTTGTACATGCATGGAATTGTTGTGGTCCCTTTTTGTCCAAATGCTTAAGTTTTGAATGTGTAGAATCTTTTGTTTGAATGCTTTTTAGTTTCTTGTTTTGCCCACCTCAGCAGAAGCAATGAGAAAGCTGTCTGACCAGCTTCAGACAGCAAGTCCCCCCGGCACCAGTGGTAGGCTGATGGTGAAGACAGAATCGTGGAACAGTGCCGATGCTGTGGTACATACGTCCGAGAAGACAGAGTCTTGGGGAGGTAGAAACACCTCAACATGTTGACATCACAGGAAGCTCATCTGTGTCGTTACTAGTGTATTAATGAATTCATCCCTGAATGATCACTGTTGTTCCACACTAACTGTATCAGTGCGTGTTTCCTTTGTGTCGCCATGTGTAGCACGTCACAGGCCTTTTACATTCCGGTTACATCACCTCATACAACACACAAACATACTACTATAAAAGATGATATGCATGAGTTTTCTCTTAGTTACATAGGACATAAATGTTTATTTATAATAGCACAAACATATTTCTAATTAAACTTTGTCACATTTAAGGTTTCAACTACGTTATTACAACAGGCGTGGAAGTTTTAAGACTAGCCATATGCAGAGTGTCAGTGTGTCATGTTTTCTCTTGTAGCAAAGCCAGGAGGTTCCCGTGGCGCCATGGCTGCCTTCAAACAGATGGATGCCACAAACAGCCCTGCACAACCGAAGTAAGTTTCCCACCCCTATGATGGGACATGTTTAGTAGGTCTTCAGAAAGCCGCTGAAATACCTTTAGTTTGATATTGGTGTAACGAGACTGTGCCCCTGACAGTGACTAACACTCATGAAATTGTCTCAACACTATAATTCTAGTATGTTGATTGTATAATGGTTGATGCTCCTAAACAGATTTCCTCCGTAGGTATATGCCTGACTGGCCCTCCTATTCATGCTGTCATGTCATCCTTGATGTATGTCATTCTGAATTGTGTTACCATGTATGCAAGTCTTGTTAGATTGTATATATGCTTTACTGTACAGATAGATGGATAGACAACTTCTTTATTGCAGTGCATGCGACGTTTCGGTGTAGGTCCTAACACCGTTATCAAGCAAATCATTTTGTTAGGACCTACACCAAAACATCACATCAGTTGGAAATGATCACTGACAGTTTAAGGTATAAAGTGATCACAAATAGTTAAAGGTATAAAGTGATCACAGATAGTTACAGGTGTGCAGTCCTACCTGATCACATATAGTAACTCACAGGTATGATGCCCTATTTTTACAACATTTTTTAAGAACATTCATTTTGGGGCATGTTGTATGTTTTTGTCTGATGTAAATAAAACCTGATGTCACTTATTTCAAGTAAAATATTTTATTTCCTATCCAGTGAACGCGAGAGCTCTTTTGTTTTTGTAATGTATTTCAGAGTAATGTTTGCTGTCTGTCTGACAGCTACCTCAGTTGGCGAGGGTTGTGTGATCACTTAGACACCCTGCTTTACCACAGACGATGGACATTCCAGCTGATATCTCCATGATAAGCCCAGTGTTATTATGAGATATACCTGTGTTTTCCATGGAGGGGCTCCGAATGTATATTTGATTCCAGTAAATTTCACTGAGGAGTTAGAATTCAAATTTTGAACATTTACTATCAAATAGAAGGTAAAACCCATGTGGCATATTTGCATTCTACCATGACACAATGGCAAAACAAACACAGACTCTTTGGTAACAGCATCCTCGATAATCTCCAGGGTATACGTTAAGATCACTTTCCACTATACCCTGGATGCATCCACGGCTTATATTACCTCCCTTTGCTGGCTCCGCATTCTCACAGTAGCCAATCAGCTAAGCCACTGTTACATTTGAGATTGGCAGTGTCAACAATGATAGCGGTCGCAGTCATGAAGGTTTGTTCGCAGTGCCACTCAGATTTTTTGGGAAAAAATACAGACAAATTGACAGATCTTAAAACTTTAAAAAATATATAAAAGAACTCCTTCTACCTCTTTCAGACTACCTCTGCATCAATTGTGTTGCCAAGTTTAAATGGTTAGATAATTTAAGAAGCGAAAGTGAGTTGTGATTGGTTTGCTCAACTTCCCAGCATAGACACCTGATTGGATAAAAAGACGGCCAAGAAGGTAATATAATTATAGGGCCAAGCCGTGGATGCATCCAGGGTATAGTGGAGAGTGATCGTAACGTAAACCCTGGAGATAATCGGGGATGTGGTAACAGGTGAATAGATTAGTACATTGTCATCATTGAGTCAAACCTAATTTTCACCATAATATTTAAAACCTCTTCAGTGAGACGCAGTAACATAATGTAGGCAAATATCCTGTAACCATTATTCAAACTGATAGCACGGGGAACAATGAAGTGAACTTTATAATGTCTTGTTGCAATTTCTAAGATGCCTAGCGGTTAGAACAATAAAAAACCCAAAAACATTATCAGACAATAAAGGTATAGTTTTTTGATGACGTAACAATTGAATGACGTTATCCTATCACTGCGCCATTCTAGTCTGTCCCCTTGTAATCGAACCAATTTACATTACGTCACAATGTAAGCGACGTCACGATGCATGTCAGTTGTCATCGCCTCATACGGCCTCCTAAAGTAAACTACTCCGTTGCATCCCGTTTCTAGGTTTGCTGTTGCTTAACGCAGCTAACAACACTGGTGGAAACATTACGTTTATGTTTTACGACGGTTAAAATGTGTCGATTCGACTCACAAGTTTTCAGTGACACTGTAACGTTCGCAATTTTTACATTCCAACATTCCCACGTGGAATGTCGCTTGACTACTCAGCTTCATCTGGATGTACTGATCTAAACTTACGTTGGTAGTAGAAATGCGACGTTCATATTGCCCCATAGGTTTACGTTAATGACAGATGTAATTAAAATATTTCAGAGAAGATATTTAATCCGGACGTAAACCCTCATCAAACTGTTATCATTTGTATTTTGCTGGTAACGTTCGTCTTAATGTAGGGGTGCAGACACATCAATAGAACAGCGCGCCAGTTAGCCCTGTGCGAGCATTCTTAATTTGGGTCACCGACACCGTCGTTTGTTTTCTGCCTTAAATTAATTGTAATTATCCTTAGAAAGTATTATATTTGGCATCTTAGAAAAGAAATACAGTTCGCTCTACCACCATGTATAGTGTAATAAAGCACACTTTCGCCCTGAACTATTATAACGTTAAAGCACTCATGCTTTAACTATAATAGTTCAGGGCAAAAGAGTGCTTTATTACACTATACATGGTGGTAGAACGAACTGTATTTCTTAACTACACAGCACTGTCACGGCATCTTAAAGCTTTCATTCAGAGACAATGTTACACAACAGACATGATGTCGGACTACATGATAGGGTCGTACTGAAGGTCAGGACATGTTGAGGTATCAATACTTTACAAAATATTTAATTGTTGTTGTTTTTTTTCTCTAAAACATTTATTGTCACACTTGCTGTAAGTAATATTGGCACAGGAGACATTATTTTGAATTGTTAGTTGAACAATAGCGGTGTGCCTGAAGCTTCCAATTGCAGGATTGTGAACCGTCATGGTGGAATGTTGTCCTTGTCTTCTGTTGCATGAAGCTGCATGTATGCATGTTATATGACTCTGTTCTGTCCACAGTGCTTTAGTTACCGTATCACTGGCTAAGAAGGCTGCTACCACAATGAGACGTAACGCTATTGCCATCAAACAGGAAGTGCTTGCCTTCTGCAAACACAACACTAAAGAATACAAGGTACAGGTGTCACGTGCATCACATCATATACAACTGTCTGTAGTGCCCCCTGGTGGAGGTCCTCACCACTAACCTCAGTACCGCAGTACCAGCTTATCCCACAGGTGAACTCCTGCAGTCTAGGGGGGTGAGGTGGGGGAGAGATTGGTTGTCACAACTAACCTCAGTACCGCAGTGCCTAGGGCTGACTCCTGCAGTCTAGGGGTGTGTGTGGGGGGGCGAGGGGGTGACAGTGGTTACCTGTTGGGGGACAGGGAGAGGGAGAGGGGATAATGATGGAGCATGCTTTATACTGGATGACTTTTAATATTCACTTTGAACTGTGTTTTTGTCAGTGTTTTTGTCATGGTGTTTTAAAGCTATTTGGTCCTGACAAACCCAGAGACTCTTTCAGGGTGAATGTAGGATGTAAACCATAAATTAAATCCTATATTTCTGACATTCAGGGAAGCAGCTTGCCACATCACATTGCATCATTTTGGAACATTGGGGCACGCATACTTATTCCCATCAGAAACCAAATTAAGATGGAACAAATATGTGATACGTATAATCAAAACAGGGTTTATCATCTACTGTGTTTCTCCTTGTCTGTAGGGGGGAGTTGTCGAGGGATTAAATTTGATACTGTGTCTGAATATATCTTCTGTAGATACTTCGTCTTTCCGTAGAGGACAAGATAACCCCTGTATCTAGTGATAACCATCCAGTAATTGGTGTACTACTTCCTTTCATTACCGGTCTTATTTCAGCTGATGATGCAGTGTTACCTGTTACAGGTGTTATTTCAGCTGATGATGCAGTGTTACCTATTACAGGTGTTATTTCAGCTGATGATGCAGTGTTACCTGTTACAGGTGCTATTTCAGCTGATGATGCAGTGTTACCTGTTACAGGTGCTATTTCAGCTGATGATGCAGTGTTACCTGTTACAGGTGTTATTTCAGCTGATGATGCAGTGTTACCTATTACAGGTGTTATTTCAGCTGATGATGCAGTGTAACCTGCTACAGGTGTTACATCAACTAATGATGCAATGTCACCTGTTACAGGTGTCATGTGAGCTGAGGATGCAGTGTCACTTAAAGCAGGTGTGTCCAGTGACAGGGCTATCCAAGTGGTTCTTTCTCCCATAACCTTAGTACTGATGTTGTTTGTTTTCGTCCCAGTGCTGGCCGTGGACGTGGCATGACGCGGAGCCCCAGTGCTATCAAACAGATGCTGCTAGACTGGTGCAAGTCCAAGACCGCAGAGTATGAGGTACCCACATTGGTGGCCTGGTGGCTGCACGCTGTTGGCCTGATGGAAAGTCTGGCTGTGTGATGGTGCCTTGCATAGAACACACTCACAACTCAATCTTGGAACCTTTGGATCATTTAGGAAGTTGAATAAAGAATGGTTTTGATAAACGTTTGATATTTAGAACTTTCATGCACTGAAATTAAGTAGAACTAGAAGGGAATAGGTGTGTAGGTCAGTATTAGTAACTGAGGATTAAATAGTGTAACAAGTATGTTTGATAATTGACAAGAAACACTTTGAACTATTGCTGTGAACCGAGAGCCTGTTCCGTGAGTGTGTGCAATACAGGTCATCTTCACACAGCAGGACACACAACAGAATGCTTCTGTGTGTTGTGCCTTGGTACCAAGACAAGCATGGAGACTGCTGGTGTCTTGCACCATTGTAGGGGGTCTGCTGGTTTCTTGCATCAAGGCATGGTGTCTATTGGTGCCTTGCACCACTGCATGCTATCCTATCGTGATGTGCATCAGTGCATGTTATCCTATGGTTATGTGCATCAGTGCATATTATCCTATGGTTATGTGCATCAGTGCATATTATCCTATGGTTATGTGCATCAGTGCATATTATCCTATGGTGGTGTGCATCAGTGCATGTTATCCTATGGTGATGTGCATCAGTGCATATTATCCTATGGTTATGTACATCAGTGCTTATTATCCTATCGTGATGTGCATCAGTGTATGTTATCCTATGGCGATGTGCATCAGTGCATGTTATCCTATGGCGATGTGCATCAGTGCATGTTATCCTCTTGTGCTGTGCAGCTGTATTGTGTCTACGCATGGTATTTCTGTCCTGTTTGGTTACAGGTGGTTGCTATGGAGATGAGCTGTATATAACTTCTTGCTTATGAGAGGTGGCTGAAAAATTCTGAGCTTAACTGAGAGGGACGTCTAGTTTATCCTTAGCAGTTTGTTTGTATTAAGTACAAGACCCTTGTTGCTTACAGGCTGCATCTTAACCACAAGCAGGTGGTACACAGTGTAAACTCTAAGGTCACATAACCATCAATACAGCCTCATGAAAGAGTTGAGGACATGGTGAGTAATGAACTGGGCATGATAAAGGTTTCCGTCTGCTGGGTTCCAGGGACGTCTGATCTGAAATATGCCAGGTTCATCATCTATTGTGAGAGTATCTGTCATGAGAGAGTATCTGTCATGAGAGTATCTGTCATGAGAGTATCTGTCATGTGAGAGTATCTGTCATGTGAGAGTATCTGTCATGTGAAAGTATCTGTCATGTGAGAGTATCTGTCATGTGAGAGTATCTGTCATGAGAGAGTATCTGTCATGTGAATGTATCTGTCATGAGAGAGTATCTGTCATGTGAGAGTATCTGTCATGTGATTGTATCTGTCATGAGAGAGTATCTGTCATGTGAGAGTATCTGTCATGAGAGAGTATGTCACGAGAAAGTATATGTCATGAGAGAGTATCTGTCATGTGAGAGTATCTGTCATGTGAGAGTATCTGTCATGAGAGATTATCTGTCATGTGAGAGTATCTGTCATGAGAGAGTATCTGTCATGAGAGAGTATCTGTCATGTGAGAGTATCTGTCATGAGAGAGTATCTGTCATGTGAATGTATCTGTCATGAGAGAGTATCTGTCATGTGAGAGTATCTGTCATGTGATTGTATCTGTCATGAGAGAGTATCTGTCATGTGAGAGTATCTGTCATGTGAGAGTATGTCAAGAGAGTATGTCACGAGAGAGTATCTGTCATGAGAGAGTATTTGTCATGTGAGAGTATCTGTCATGTCTCTGCCATGAGAGAGTATCTGTCATGTGAGAGTATATGTCATGTGAGAGTATCTGTCATGAGAGTATCTGTCATGTGAGAGTATATCAAGAGAGAGTATCTGTCATGAGAGAGTATCTGTCATGTGAGAGTATGTCATGTGAGAGTATCTGTCATGAGAGAGTATGTCATGTGAGAGTATCTGTCATGTGAGAGTATGTCACGAGAGAGTATATGTCATAAGAGAGTATCTGTCATGTGAGAGTATCTGTCATTTGAGAATATCTGTCATGAGAGAGTATCTGTCATGTGAGAGTATCTGTCATGTGAGAGTATGTCACGAGAGAGTATATGTCATAAGAGAGTATCTGTCATGTGAGAGTATCTGTCATTTGAGAATATCTGTCATGAGAGAGTATCTGTCATGTGAGAGTATCTGTCATGTGAGAGTATCTGTCATGTGAGAGTATGTCAAGAGAGAGTATATGTCACGAGAGTATCTGTCATGTGAGAGTATCTGTCATGTGAGAGTAGCTGTCATGTCTCTGTCATGAGAGAGTATCTGTCATGTGAGAGTATCTGTCATGAGAGAGTATCTGTCATGTGAGAGTATCTGTCATGAGAGAGTATCTGTCATGTGAGAGTATGTCAAGAGAGTATATGTCACGAGAGAGTATCTGTCATGTGAGTATCTTTCATGTGAGAGTATCTTTCATGTCTCTGTCATGAGAGAGTATCTGTCATGTGAGAGTATATGTCATGATAGAGTATATGTCATGTGAGAGTATCTGTCATGTGAGAGTATCTGTCATGAGAGAGTATCTGTCATGTGAGAGTATCTGTCATGAGAGAGTATCTGTCATGTGAGGGTATCTGTCATGTGAGAGTATCTGTCTTGAGAGAGTATCTGTCATGTGAGAGTATCTGTCATGAGACAGACCCACCTGACTTTGTGGAGTGATCTGCAACCATGGATGAGTCTAAACAACTATCAGAATAGTGGAAACCTATAAACTCCTCAATGGACAGCAAAGTCTGTTTGCTAATATTATGCTAAGCTGCTTGGGCAATTACACGAGAATGATGATTTGTTCCACCACCAATAAGAAGCCTTCTTCACCAGTGGGTTCATAGTCGGCAGACATATGAGGACCTTGGAGGGGTTTATGTTGAACAAAAACTCGCATTTACACAAGTCAATCATAGTTAGACTCAAAACTTTGCAGCTACCTCTCTACTGTGCTGTTCTACCGAACCCTTCATGTGCTCCTTTGTTCCAGCCACACTGCAGCTTGTTGTGCTTCACGTCTCACAATATTGCATGCATGAGATTCCGCATTGTCCAGTCTGTGCGGTCACTTCACTACTGCCATGTACACGTTATGCTACTGCTGTTTATTTTTTATGTGTTGAATGATACAATGTTGTAGAATAACATGATGCTTTCTCTCCAATATCTGAGTTGATAATGGAATGGTACATCTTGGGTTTAGCTTATGCATGTGTTTGAATGTTATTACAGTATATATGATGCATAAGACAAGTGGTATGAAGTGAGTCGGGGTTACATACAGTACATAGGTTGTATGATGCATAAGACAAGTGGTATTGAGTGAGTCGGGGTTACATACAGTACATAGGTTGTATGATGCATAAGACAAGTGGTATTGAGTGAGTCGAGGTTACATACAGTACATAGGTTGTATGATGCATAAGACAAGTGGTATGGAGTGAGTCGAGGTTACATACAGTACATAGGTTGTATGATGCATAAGACAAGTGGTATGAAGTGAGTCGGGGTTACATACAGTACATAGGTTGTATGATGTATAAGACAAGTGGTATGAAGTGAGTCGAGGTTACATACAGTACATAGGTTGTATGATGCATAAGACAAGTGGTATGAAGTGAGTCGGGGTTACATACAGTACATAGGTTGTATGATGCATAAGACAAGTGGTATGAAGTGAGTCCGGGTTTAAGCTGTATGTTAGTTGTACTGTTCCTCATGCTGTCAAACAGTGTGAGGCATCAGGGTATGTTGGAGGATGATCATACATCAGCCAAGTTCCACACAATGGTGATACACCTCACGATATAAATATTTATCTCTTTGATGTTTTCATCATTCTGCTTTTGAAGATTGTTAGGGGCCAATATCCCCGCTACAGAATATCTGTAATAAGACTGATCCTTATGAATCTAAAGATTGATTGTGAACTAACACTCCTACATGTTTTCCTTGTTCGACAATATAGGTTCACTCTATTTACACTTTGAGAGCACCATAGATTCATGCAAGATGAAAGTCATGTGCATGCCAGCAGTATTATTCAAATATTTTGTTGCTATAAAGAGTTAATTCAGTAATTTGAAATAGACCTATATTGCCTCCATGTGTTGATACTGTACCCTATATTGCCTCCATGTGTTGATACTGTACCCTATATTGCCTCCATGTGTTGATACTGTACCCTATATTGCCTCCATGTGTTGATACTGTACCCTATATTGCCTCCATGTGTTGATACTGTACCCTATATTGCCTCCATGTGTTGATACTGTACCCTGAGAGTGAGAGTCAGCATCTCATGCAGCAACATGGTGTGTTTCCAGACGATACAGATCACCAACTTCTCCAGTTGTTGGAACAATGGGCTGGCATTCTGTGCACTCATCCATCACTTCTTCCCGGATGCATTCGACTTCAATGCGCTCACACCGAAAAACAGACGCTACAACTTTGATCTGGCCTTTGACACTGCAGAGTAAGTATGATGTCAAGATTAAGGTCAACTCTTTAACTACCTGTACATATTGTGTATCTACTGGATGATGTTGAGATGATGATGTGTGCTGACTTTGCTTGCAGGAAGAGGGCCGACATTGCCCCTCTACTGGATACAGATGATATGGTGCGAATGAAGAACCCCGACTGGAAGTGTGTGTTTACCTATGTCCAGAGTATCTACCGACATCTGCGTGACCATGACGCCAACAAGGCCAAGGAGGCAGAGCAGTGATTGGCTGACTGGCTAACCGCTGCTTGCACAGCATCATGCAGTTGTTGTTATTTTTGTCATGTAACTTATTGAGTTTGTAACATTTAATCATGTGGTGGTGATGCTGCACTGACTGTGTGTGGAGCAGCGACTAGTGCAGGAGTACCTAGTAGAACACAGGTGACACAGTGATTCCCACCTCCAACACACCTGCTTCCAGGCCAGAAACACACATCTGTTTCGTCTCTTTCGAACTTGCCACCACATGGCTTCCCACAGGGAAGTCATCATCGTCAAGAGATAAGTGTTTATTGTGAAACTCTCCAACACATGTATGGTAAAACGGTTAGTGAAGACGTTGGAGTCTCGTCACTGTGTATCACATCACCTGTTGAGGAGCGTAAGAAGTATGTATTACAATAGATAGCATTTCTATAGCAAACACAAAACCAATGTCTTCCAGGTTTCTACACTATATTGGGTGATATGTTTACTGTAATGTGATATTAGAATGGTGCCTTTTATGTGATACAAGTAGCTACTGTAGATGACAAATACGTCCATATTATGGTTTGGGCTGATCAGCATCTATACGAGCTGTGTGGAGCTCAGCATGTGTTATCTGTCTCTGCTGGGAGGATAGTGAAGGACTGTGTGGAGGGTGACAACATGGCGCCATGGCTCAGACAGATGGGCTCTCATAGCATGTTGCAGTCATGGAATGTTTCTTGCTTCACCCTGCAGCCAAATAACATCCACACATCAGTCTTACAGTCACCCCTTACACCAACTGTCACACCTGCAGGTGACAGATCCACAGTCACACCTGCATGTCATCAGGGGACTGTTACACCTGCAGATGGATCCACAGTCACACCTGCATGTCACCACGGGACTGTTACACCTGCAGGTGACAGATCCACAGTCACACCTGCATGTCATCAGGGGACTGTTACACCTGCAGATGGATCCACAGTCACACCTGCATGTCACCACGGGACTGTTACACCTGCAGGTGACAGATCCACAGTCACACCTGCATGTCACCACGGGACTGTTACACCTGCAGGTGACAGATCCACAGTCACACCTGCATGTGACCAGGCCACTGTAACACCTGTGATTGATGATGATATGAATGTAGGTATTCAACTTGGAAGTGGACTGGTTCTGTAAGTTGTGAAGTTGATTGCTACCACCTCCAAGTAATGTTTTTAGTCCAAATTCAAACATGTGAAGGACTTGATAGTTGAGAGTGCATAATATAAACTACTGTACATGCATATGTGGATAGGACGTAGTGTTGGTGCTTGCTAGGGTTTTAGGGATATTGTATTTGTAGAAGAAGGTAGACTTGCATTATCTATGTATCCGGTGTACTAGTGTAGGTAGTGCTGACATCTGGTGGCCAACCATGCTCCTAGTGTTCTGTAGCTATCCTCCTACACACTGTGGGGGAAGATATTCTTACAAGTTAACAGTGCAATGTAATCCCATTATGTGAGATAATTGGCATTTCAATTCACAATACTCAGCAACTTGACGGCAGGCCCCTTGGGGACAGTGAAAAACAGTACTGGTAGGTAACATATGTTGACATTGTGCCCTAGATCATCGGATTGGTTTCTGCATCTTATTTGGCCTATTGCAGTGCTTTGAGCTTTGTTTTCTTCATGACTGGCTTCATACAGGGTCTTCTTTACATCTGTTCCTAAAACATGTCTTTTGGACTTTTTAAGTTCAATGTTAGTATAATCCAGTCTGTGGTAAGATTATATTAAATGGTTTTTGGTATTATTTCTCGACATCACATAATGCAAGATGGCATCTATTAAATATTTTTCTATGTACATCTCATGAAACAAATCAAAGACAAAGAACTTTGTGCAGGGTTTATGATTGAATTTGTTTTTGACAATACAGCAATTACTCACTTAAAGCTATAAAAGCTTTAAAGGTCTTTGTCTTTATGTTAGGCAAGGGTTCCACTGTCCCGGCAACTGTGTGCAAGTCTGTGTTACTGTGTCTGTCTAGTATTGATTGCTCTTGTTTTTATGAAATAACATGTTTTATTTCCATTTTGTAGATATTCAATGATATCATAACTTGTACAGTCAACTGTTTTGTAGTGAACTATTTCCAGTGCTATTCAATATAACTCCTTTTTCATGTTTTGTTTTGCATACCAACATTAAAGTTTGTAGTTGTGTTCTCAGGGTGCCGCAATATGTAGTGATTAACGTGATGTCACACTCTCCAACAACCTCAAGCAACAATCACGTACAGGTTGCTGCCAAACACAAACTAGATTTCTTGTATTCATGTATTTTTCTCCTTTTATTATCCATGTAGCCTGATATTTGTTCTTACAACCCTGCATTGTAAAGAGTCTCTACTGTAAGTGCTGGCACTGTCTGTTCTTGATCAATGGTAACATGTTTGTAAATCCGTGCCAAATTTGAAAACAATATTTACCACTGTACTTAAAAATATCCATTGCTGCCAACTGCCAGTTGAAGGAAACGTTTGTATAGTATGGTTAGATTTGTGTAGACAGCAGGAGACTGGGGCAGCTGGGGTGGGGCAACACTTGACATTAGGAGGGAGGGCTTCATGAGATGCTAACGCAGCAAAACTGTGTCCTTTCTGTTGTTGTGTGCATTTACTGTATAACTTAACAAGTACACATCCTGTGCGTATGTTTCTGTATCTGTTAATGAATAAAAATATAATTATATCTGGTTTTGTTTTCATGTTATTTCTTTGTCAGAGTTTTCTTTCAGTATCTTAACTTTTGGGTTATTTAGCAGACCATTAATTACTTCCAAGGTTGTGTCAAATTTGGCCACAGTCACTAGTGATTCTGTTCAGTTAGCCTGACTTAAACTCAGGTGTGCTTGTCTCATGGCCTGTCTGGCATTGTAAACATCTTCTCCTGAGGGATCCGTGGACACATTAAGCTGACACTTCACCTGCCTGTTCTCGAAGACGTTCAAGTGGTCTCAATCTAGTTTTCAGGTTCTGTTCTAATTTGGCCCTAGCAGCTGTATCAAAAATGAACACAATACCTTGTTAGTGTTGTAAGAGATAGAATACTAGCTCTATGACATCTGTGCAACATTCCTTGTATACACATAAATAAATTATCATAAAACACACATGTTTATACCAGGTGTTAGAACAACTGTATATAAAACTTCCCAAACATTTCTGATAATTAGCACGTCATGCACTCACATTTGGTTATAGTGATAATAATCTGTAAAACATAATGGACATTTATAATGTGCCTGTATCAACACACTAGTGCATGCTCATGGTGTGTGCGCCTGTATCAATGCACTAGTGCATGCTCATGGTGTGTGTGCCTGTATCAATGCACTACTGCGTGCTCATGGTGTGTGTGCCTGTATCAACACACGAGTGCATGCTCATGGTGTGTGCGCCTGTATCAATGCACTAGTGCATGCTCATGGTGTGTGTGCCTGTATCAATGCACTACTGCGTGCTCATGGTGTGTGTGCCTGTATCAACACACGAGTGCGTGCTCATGGTGTGTGTGCCTGTATCAACACACGAGTGCATGCTCATGGTGTGTGTGCCTGTATCAACACACGAGTGCATGCTCATGGTGTGTGCGCCTGTATCAATGCACTAGTGCATGCTCATGGTGTGTGTGCCTGTATCAATGCACTACTGCGTGCTCATGGTGTGTGTGCCTGTATCAACACACGAGTGCGTGCTCATGGTGTGTGTGCCTGTATCAACACACGAGTGCGTGCTCATGGTGTGTGTGCCTGTATCAACACACGAGTGCGTGCTCATGGTGTGTGCGCCTGTATCAACACACGAGTGCATGCTCATGGTGTGTGCGCCTGTATCAACACACGAGTGCATGCTCATGGTGTGTGTGCCTGTATCAACACACGAGTGCATGCTCATGGTGTGTGTGCCTGTATCAACACACTAGTGCATGCTCATGGTGTGTGTGCCTGTATCAACGCACTACTGCGTGCTCATGGTGTGTGCGCCTGTATCAACACACGAGTGCATGCTCATGGTGTGTGCGCCTGTATCAGCGCACTAGTGCATGCTCATGGTGTGTGCGCCTGTATCAACGCACTAGTGCGTGCTCATGGTGTGTGTGCCTGTATCAATGCACTAGTGCGTGCCCATGGTGTGTGCGCCTGTATCAACGCACGAGTGCATGCTCATGGTGTGTGCGCCTGTATCAACGCACTAGTGCGTGCTCAAGTTGTGTGCGCCTGTATCAACGCACTAGTTACCGTGCTCATGGTGTGTGCACCTGTATCAACGCGACGAGTGCATGCTCATGGTGTGTCGCCATGTATCAACGCACTAGTGCGTGCTCAAGTTGTGTGCCTGTATCAACTCACGAGTGCATGCTCATGGTGTGTGCGCCTGTATCAACGCGCACTAGTGCATGCTCATGGTGTGTAAAGCGCCTGTAGCAACGCACTAGTGCGCGCGTGCTCATGGTGTGTCGCCTGTATCAAATACACTAGTGCATGCTCATGGTGTGTTAACCTGTATCAACGCACTAGTTCGCGCTCATGGTGTGTGTGCGCCCTGTATCAAAGCACTAGTGCGTGCTCATGGTGTGTTAACCTGTATCAACGCGACTAGTTAATTGCTCATGGTGTGTGTGCCTGTATCAACGCACTAGTGCATGCTCATGGTGTGTTAACCTGTATCAACGCACTAGTTCGCGGCTCATGATGTGTGCACCTGTATCAGCGCGCTAGATGCGTGCTCATGGTGTGTGCCTGTATCAGCGCGACTAGTGCATGCTCTCATGGTGTGTTAACCTGTATCAACGCGCGACTAGTGCGTGCTCATGGTGTGTTAACCTGTATCAACGCTAGTGCATGCTCATGGTGTGTGCGCCTGTATCAACGCACTGGTTCGCGGCTCATGGTGTGTGCGCCTGTATCAACGCACTAGTGCGTGCTCATGGTGTGTGCGCCTGTATCAAAGCACTAGTGCATGCTCATGGTGTGTTAACCTGTATCAACGCACTAGTTCGTGCTCATGGTGTGTGCGCCTGTATCAACGCACTAGTGCGTGCTCATGGTGTGTGCGCCTGTATCAACGCACTAGTTCGTGCTCATGATGTGTGCGCCTGTATCAGCGCACTAGTGCGTGCTCATGGTGTGTGCGCCTGTATCAACGCACTAGTGCGTGCTCATGGTGTGTGCGCCTGTATCAACGCACTAGTGCGTGCTCATGGTGTGTGCGCCTGTATCAACTCACTAGTGCGTGCTCATGGTGTGTGCGCCTGTATCAACGCACTAGTGTGTGCTCATGATGTGTGCGCCTGTATCAGCGCACTAGTGCGTGCTCATGGTGTGTGCGCCTGTAACAACGCACTAGTGCGTGCTCATGGTGTGTGCGCCTGTATCAACACACTAGTGCATGCTCATGGTGTGTGCGCCTGTATCAACGCACTAGTGCATGCTCATGGTGTGTGCCTGTATCCACGCACTAGTGCGTGCTCATGGTGCTACAATAGAAGCAGAGAATCTAGACCACAATATACAGTGAGTAATAGTCGCTCTGGAAGAGAATCAGAAAGTTTAATGTTGACAGGTAAAGAGTTCCACAAACATGGAGCTGCATGTCGGAAAGATTGCTCGTGGAATGAAGCTGAGTGGATCTTGGGGACCGTTAACAGGAGCTGGGTCTGGAATTCAAGAGTTCTGGTTTGGGTGTATACTGTGATGAGATCCTTGAAATAAGCTGGCGCAAGATTGTGTCGACAATGCAGAGGAGCTTAAAGTCAATACCAGATACAATAGTAAGCTAATGTAAGGATTTTACAATAGTAGTTATGGGATCAAACTTGGATTTCAAAAAAACAATATAAGCAGCTGAATTGTGAACCTTTTGCAGTTTGTAAAGCTGAGCTTCGCTGAGACCTACAAGCAGTCCAGTACAGTAATCTAATCCAGATGAGACAAGACACCTAGAAGGACCTGAGCACTTTCTGTACTAATGTACTTTCTGATGTTTCTGATCATGCGCAGATGGAAGTAGCAAGTTTTACAGAGTTTGTCTAATTGAGCTCCCACGGAGAGATCTGGATCAATTCCGACATATAGATTTTCACAAATGTAGCTTGGGAAGAGCCGATATTGACTCTCCTGTCTACGATCCATTTCAGGTGTTGCTGTTTGCCAACAAGAAGGACTTCAATTTTGTCTGTTGAGTTTTAGGTGTCTACTTACCATCCATGATTTTATCGCATCAGTACAGTGTTTGAAATGCTTGACAGTGGACTGAACTGAGTCTAACTTATCAGCTGATTATCATCGGCATAGGAGAAATGAGGAGTGTTGAATTTGTCTGTAATTGAGGAAAGCTGATTCAGGTAGAGGAGGAACAGAATAGGCCCCAGAACAGAGCCTTGTGGTCCACCACAAGAAAAGACAGCCTTCTTAGACAGTTTCTCCGCCACTAGCACTGCCTGACTTCCGTCAGTCAAGTATGATGAGAACCATGACAATACAGTACCACTGATTACAACCTGGTGTTCCAGTGGGTGAAGGAACCTCTTGCGTTCCAGTGTGTGAAGGAGCTTCTGGTGTTCCAGTGGGTGAAGGAGCTTCTGGCGTTCCAGTGTGTGAAGGAGCTTCTGGTGTTCCTCAAATCCAGCACTCAGATCAAAGAGCACAAAAGTTGCCATTTGTCCAGTAACAATGCATCTGAGGTCATTAATAACTCTGAGAAGAAGTGTCTCGGTGGAATGGTGTGGTCGGTAAGCCGACTGAAAGCCATCCAAAATATTGATCACTGACAGATAATCCATGATTATAACAGCATGCTTCAACATGGACTTCCGATATTGATAAGATGGCATTGTACAAGTGGATCCTACAAATGCCCTGGTTACATATCTCTCAAGTGAAAGTAGTGAATGTTATATGTTGGAGTCACTTACAGCAATAGATACCACCTACGTACAGTGTTCCAAGAAGCGAGGTGACCCCACGGTAAGTGTTGGAAATAACTCACTTTACCAGTCCTGCAGCCGTTGTCCTGGTTATAAACTGAGGGGCAAAAGAAACGTCCCCAAAGTAAAATTGTAAAAAACATTTCTTCTGTTTTCGTTATGACGGAAATTTATTTAGGAACACATCTCCCGAACGCATCCCCACGTCTCACAGAAAGGAAATCCACGTGGAGTTTTTTGTAAGCATGAAAATTGCTTTTATTCACGTTTTTTGCATGCTTCTGTGGAAACATACCCGTATGAAAGTACAGTATAAAAATTATGCTCGACTGTTCGAATTCATCACTTCAATACGTTGGACACAAAGAACATGCCTCGACTCACGGCAGAACAGAGAGAACGAGCTATTGGGATGTTGCAGCTGGGTGCTTCTCACAGTCACGTTGCAAGAATCATGGGTTGCAGCAAGAAAACCATCACCAGACTGATGACACGCTTCAGAACAACAGGTCGGACTGCAGACAGGCCTAGGACAGGAGACCACCCGTAACCACCCCTCAGGAAGACCGCCATTTACGGGTGCTTCACTTGCGCAACAGATTCCTGACTGTGACGTCATCAGCAACAACCAGCCTTACCCATCCAGTCAGTAGAAGGACCATATCCAGACGACTCCGCCGATTCGGTATCAGAGCCTACAGACCATTCCGGGCGTGACGTTAACGCGTGAACATCGACGTCGTCGATTGGCTTGGGCACGTAGAGTTC